CCCCGGGCGCTCTATCGGGCGCTCTGTCAGTCAGCTCTGGCTCCCCGGGCACTGTGTCAGTCAGCTCCGGCTCCCCGGGCGCTCTATCGGGCGCTGTGTCAGTCAGCTCCGGCTCCCCGGGTGCTCTATCGGGCCTCCATCAGTCAGCTCCGGCTCCCCGGGCGCTGTGTCGGGCGCTCCGTCAGTCAGCCCCGGCTCCCCGGGCGCTCTATCGGGCGCTCTGTCAGTCAGCTCTGGCTCCCCGGGCACTGTGTCAGTCAGCTCTGGCTCCCCGGGCGCTCTATCGGGCGCTGTGTCAGTCAGCTCCGGCTCCCCGGGCGCTCTATCAGCTCCGTCAGTCAGCTCCGGCTCCCCGGGCGCTCTATCAGCTCCGTCAGTCAGCCCCGGCTCCCCGGGCGCTCTATCGGGCGCTCCGTCAGCCTGCTCCGGCTCCCCGGGCCGTACCCCAGCACCTTCTCCCACCTCCCATCCCACCTCGGCGGCCGGCCTCTGCTTCCGGCCCCTGGGCTTCCCCTGAAGTCCCTAAGAAGACGCCCCAGCCCTGCCCCACGGCCGGCCTTCACACTTGGTCTCGCTGTCCGGAGAGCTCATCCCTCCTGTCACACCAAGTCACTTCCCAGGGCCTGGCGTGCTCGGCACTTTCCTCAGTGTCGCCACGTCGTCGTCGACGCCGGGAGGACAAGACGACCGTTGAGCAGGTGCTCGAATGCGCAAGCTCCACGAGAGCAGCTCCCAGCAGGCAGTGCGAACACCACGTGAGGTCACATGCAGCCTTTTCCCCTCCCCTTCCTTGCCGCCGCCCCCCCCAACTGAAAAACCTACCACTTCCGGAAGGCACCTTTCCTCATCCTGTTCCAGGTCCGTGTGGAAGCTTCGAGAAACAGAAATCTCTTTTTCTCCTGAACATGTGGAAAGACAAAGGGAAGATGCTCTGAAGAAAACGCAGGGAAGGGTAGCCAAAGGTAGCGCCCCCCCCCCCCATGAGGCTTGAATTCGGGGCCTGGGCGCTGAACCTGAGTTTCTTGTGTCTTTCGTGTTCAGAGCTCTACGCCTTGAGCCTCAGCCCCACTTCCGGCTTTTTCTGCTTGTGTGGTGCTGGGCCTCAGGCATGCAAGGCAGGCGCTCTACCACTGAGCCACCTTCCCAGCCCCAGACTGGGGAAATCCCTACCTGAATGTGTCTGTAAGTTTACTAATTAGCAAAAGCTTTCCCAGGGATTTATAATACCGATGACAGCACACGCTACTTGTGGCCTAGCAGGATTAGGTGCTTTATCATGGTATCTTTGATCTTCAACATTCTAAATTCATTTCCTGTTATACACGTATTAAATAGGACAAAAATCAGTAACACACCTTTTACACCTCCTAAAGTATAATACATAACAGTTTTTCTCCTTTTGCTGATTTAAACTTGAGTTACTATTAAGACTTGGAAGTGACTAGGGATGTAGCCAAGTAGTAAGACGTTTTGTCTAGCATGTGCAAGATCTTGAGTTGGGGGAGGGAGTTGATTTGCTAATGTTGTGAAATATAAGCCTTCACCTAAGTATTGAATAGATGATTAAC